CTTCCCCCCTTGTCAGAGGAGCGCAGTACCTGGATCCTGCCCACGTAACGGAGACGGCTCTTGAGCTCTAGTATAAACTCAGGACTACGCCTTTAGGACACCTCTTCTTCTTCCTCACAAGCCCAAGTGCAGCCCACATACCCTTTATACCTATATATACACTGCCTAATTCTAGCAGCCGCAGTTACCAGCCCTGAGCAGCAAGCGCTATTGCCCAAAGCTGCTTTTTTGTGTGCGCAGAATTTGGGCAACCTTATTTCAGCTGCAGGAGGCCCAGGTCAGCGCAGCTCTAGAGGCAGCCACAAGCAAAACCGAAACAAATTACGATGGTACTTCCATCTCCCTACAACTCGAGCGGCTTGGCACTGGTCGAGTTCCGCAGTTCTCAGCGTACCTTTCCACACCTTTTACTTGCACAGAATCACAGCATGGCAGGGGTTGGAAGGGACCTCAGGAGATTATCCAGTCCACCCCCCCCTGCTAAAGCAGGTTCACCTAGAGCAGGTTGCACAGGACATCGTCCAGGCGGGCTTCCAGAGAAGGAGACTCCACAACCCCCCAGGCAGCCTGTTCCAGTTTACCCTCAAAGTAAAGAAGTTCTTCCTCACGTTCAACTGAAACCTCTTATGCTTCAGTTTCCATCTACCTTGGCATGACATATGCCCTCTGTGCCTTCACCTCCTCAGCAGCTTAGCTGGGAAAATAAGGCCAGCTGTTGACTCACAAGCAAGCACTGTGCATCATCGTGCTCCCTTACGCTCTCATCTTTCCAATCCCGTCCATGCCCACGTTCATTTTGTTTTCCAGCTTTAGGGACCAAACGGTTTGTACAAACAGCAGGTTTCCATCGGCGGCAGCGCCGCGGCGGGCACTACGCCCAGGAGCAGTGCAGTGCTCGGGAGCCTCTCCTGCACGGCCTGGGCAGCTGCTCAGGCCAAGCCCCTAGCGGGGTTTTCCCTCCTGTCCTCGGGGCACTCGGCTGTTTCCAAGCCCCTGGGAAGGAGAGAGAATCTCTCTCTCCTGAACCGCGGTTGGTTGTAGTTGAACCCAACTGCCCAGGCAGTAGCAGGGCAGCCGCAGAGGACGGCAGGGTGTGAGCGCTGTCAGGTCTGCAGCCAAACAAGCCTCAGAAGAACGGGGCGTCTCACGCTGCTTGCTGTGCCAGAGGGAAAGCATTTTAAGATTTTTGAATGGATAGGTCCAACCAGGACCTGTTAAAGTCAGGGTTGCTTGCGGCATGCACAGATGGCGTCAGTCAGGCAAACGAGAGTATCAGCAACTCCAAGGGCGGGGTAAGTATCAGATTTCATTTTTGGAGTAGTGTGCCAATTCACAAATTCCTTGGACAGGGAGGGGGCGCAGACGCTTGCAGAAATGGAAGCTGCATGGTGACGTCTGCACGACACCTGGGTTTCGACGCCCCCCGGTTACTGTGGGAGCTGCCTGAAGAAACGAGGTTGGGTTGAGTGGCAACTTCGAGCCTTCTCGTCGCGTTAGCTGGTTTCTCTCTCAGGAAGCAGGCTGCTCTGGGCAGCAAGCTGGGATGAAGACCTAAGGGAGCCTGTGGTCCTCAGCTCTGTAGTAAGCTGCTGCTACGCAGCAGGAGTCAGCAGCACTGTCTGTACAGGGAAGCGAGGTGACAAATTAGTACCCTTCTCTTTCTCAGTACTGCCCGAGCACGTTCGGGTACTACATTCGTATCGCACCCTTCGGCTTCCATCCGTGCGTTTCTAAGCTTCTTCCCTGCTCCCGGCAACTCCTGCGCTCCTTCCGTCTATTTTAGCGGATGGAAGAAAGATCTCGCTTTCCAGTTACTGACTACATGCCCTGCACACACATTATTTGCATTGCAGTCAAGAAAAAGCGCGTTTAAACGGGGTTTTAGCCCAAATCCAGTAGCCATCAGAATATAACACAGGCTTAACTGATCTGAAAGAGCTTAGGTCAAAGCCCTGGGTCTATCACACAAGGTCATCCTCTTTCTCCCAAGAGAGCTAACTACCCTAAAGAAGTTTAAGTCAAGAGACGGTATCCTGCCTTCGGACACGGGACCGACCTTACCTTAAGTCAAGTACTCTCAGCTTCGCCTTAAAAGTGACAGATGCCAACCAAAATGGCGGCTTGCCAAAACCTTCTGCGATCCCATCCCTACGCCCAGCAGCAGAGCACCACACTTACTTTGCTGTTCTCGGTGACAAAGGACAGTACTTGCACACGGGTACTTTTTTCTTTTTTTTTTTTTTATTGCTGTTAATTCAAGGAAAAAGGTTGCATAAAATCCAATCTCTTCTAGAAATATAAGTGACCTTTCCAGTACATTTCAAATATCAAAGTATATGGTAAACATACAAATAAAGAGAAGGTAACATACCTCCTATTTACAGTACAGTATTTTAAATCATAAAATAAGTTCCATAAAGTACAACTGGCAGGTAATTCACAATACAAGTCCATTGGTGGTTTAACACCCTCACTTCAACTCAAACGCAGTTCATTCATTTCAAGTGGTCCAAAAATACCCAGATCAAATAAAAATTTTAATCAAAATAATTTTCATTTACTACTTAAACTTTTTTTTTTTTTTTAAATTAAAGCTTTCATCTACCTCCCTCCCCATTCCCCCCCTCCAAGAAAAAAGTTTCAAAATGTACACTGGTGCTATAAATATAAATGCTACCTATGAAGAAATGTAGTAATCAAGCTTTTTTTTTTTTTTTCTTCAAGTTTTTTGTTTGTTTAGCAATTTATTAGACGTCTGAACCAAAGATTGACTTTATTTCATCCCTCTACCGGACACCAGGTCTGATTTTAAGAAAAAACGTTTCTGCCATGAACTGTGAGGAATGCCAAACCCTATGGATATACAGTGGTAGTTGTTCATCGGTGTTGAATGCAGCAGTCAAAAAATACACTCATCTTCCAGATAACCTCAGTGCACTTTAGGAAATCAAATATTACCTGGAAGCAATTTAGTACATATATTGGCTTTTAAAAATAAAATAAAAAATACAGCAGCATTAAACTTACTTACTCATGATACTGACATGATTAATACCATCTTAACACTCATTTCAGTCTTTCACATTATACCGTAATTACGCATAGTGGTAAATTGTTATAAAATAGTGACTTTGCTATTTGGTAGACAGGTTCTAATACTAATACCTGACTATTTTGTAGAAAACCATAGCTTTTGTTCAGTTTGAAATAAAACATTTACATTCTAAGTACAATGCAACACTGTAATAGTTTAGGAAAAAAATATTCAATCAAGTAATGTTCATTCTGTGTTGACACGATGTAGAATAGCTTTTAAAAAAGGAAAAAATGCTGTCAACTTCCATTACAAATGCAAACACACTGAGTACAACATTCATACCATTTTTTTTCACCTTTGTTGCTGAACATACAGGCTAAAAAGCTACAATGGAAGAAAAATCTGTCAACTTAAGCTCGTTCATTTTTCTCAATCTGTTCCAGTCCACACAGTTTCAGCCCCTTCCTGCTCTATGTATTTTCGTTTACTTGGGACTCTCAAGAGCGGTGTATACGTGTTATTATCGGATGTAGTACACATACAGTACTGTGTGTTCCTTTGGACTCTCCTAATAGGACATTTGAACATCTCCCCTCAATTCATGAGCATTAATTTAGAGTACGGGCAGGGTCTGTATGAACCGCTAAACACTCATGCAAGTCCAACGAATCCACGTGGACAAACAGGGAAAGAAAATAAAACAGCAGCATAAGGAGAACAGGGAGGGAGGGAAGAAGATTGTGGTGGGGAACATGACCAAGTTTCTTCTTTCACCATATGGCTGCTCCACCAGTGATGTCAGAGGTCAGAGGACTTTTTTTTTTTTAAAAAAATGCAGTAAACATTGCACATGTCTCAAGTCTTCAGTGCAAAAGCATGGTTCGAATGCTCTTTTTGATTGTTTGGCTGTGTGTTTGAATTACATGCATTACGCAAGCCTTTTGTAGAACCAGGAGGAGACCAGGGACTCAGCTTTCTTCTTTTGTATGGAACAGAGGTGCAAAAGCAATGAAAAATTCCAAAAGAATATAGAACCGGGAATGTCCCAAAACGCAAGACCAACCCTCCCCCTCCCACGCACACCTTCCCCCAATTTCCCAAGCTTCAGTTTAAGTAGGCAATGTTTACTTGTTTCAGTCTGCAGAATCCAAGGTATCATTGGAAGGGGGAGGGGGAGGTGCGTATCTCAGTCTGTAAGTGCCTAAAACAGGAAAGAGAACTACTAAGTCACTGCTCACAATTAAAATGGATTACAAAACCACTACAAGGTATCAAAATGGACATGCTCTTCAAAAGGCACTATCATCCTCCAGTCCTTTTAAAGCAGATCCTAAGATTTTATACTATTTTCTTTCGTCTGCTTGCTAAAACTCTAAGTTTAAAAAAAGATACAGATGGTAGGTATAGGACTTTACCTTTACTGGAAGAATGCAGAGGAAAGTCGACCCCCACCAAGGTTCATCTTTCCCGTTCCAGTCCAACCAAACAAGCAAAGTCAGAATGGGCACAGACCAAGAATCAAAAATAGTTTATGCTCTATGCAAACACAGCGTTTTCTCCATTCTTCTGGATGGAGAGAGAAATGGCATGTAAGACTGAAGCCATTCCTTTGATTTTTAGTTCCAATTGGTTTCTGCCTTTTTGCTGCAACTTCTCTGAAAAGTTAAAGCGTGTTTCATTTATGTATGGCAGGATGGGGCACAGAAGGATGGCTGACTGTGCAAAGGTAAGCTTTAGAAAAGTTATCAAATGGCCAGTCTGCTGTTTTGTTTTTTGTTTTTTTTTTAAATTCTCACAAGTTGTAAAAATCCAAGTTGGTATCGTAGACCACAGATATCTTTCACTTTTTGCCAATGAATTCTCTCCCAAAAAACACTGAACGGGAATGGAAAAATTGAAACAACATGCAAGCCTCAACAGAATGCCAAAACCAAGCCAGTGAAAAAAGAATGACAATTTAGGACTGATATAGTTTGACTTCCCAGCTCCGAATCACACCCACTTTCAACTTCACGCCGTGTTCTACAAAATTTTCCGGCAGGGATAAGATACTTTGCAGTTTTAGAGCAGGTCACTAGTGCACAACCATTTACACAAAACATACACACGCACGCACACCTTTCTGCAAGACCAGAAACAGCACATTCAGAAAGGTAAAGAGAAACTGCTAAACTCAAAAGCAAGTCCGCTGGGAGTTATCATGATTACCTTGTTGACTGGCCTCCATGGATGACTGCTTACAGTCCTGCGCATAGTGTCCACTTACACCACAATTGTAACATGAAACGTTCCCATTCTTCTTGGGTCCCGACCCATTTGTGTTGGCAACTACGTTAGGTGCTGGATATACAGGATAGAACCTCCCAAATCCTGCCATCTGCTGCATACCATAGTTGGCTTGGCTCCCCATCACTGGGTCATGCATAAGCCCATTTGCATATGGAGACTGAGGCAGGAAGAAAGGAAGTTGTGTTCCATTGCTTTGATGTGCTTGATTGAGGTAGCTGCCATTGCAAAGTGATGGCAGAGTGAAGAAAGATGGAACTCTGTAGACTTGTCCATGAAGTGGATTATGATAAAAATAGCTATTAATCTGAAGGCTTCCATTGGTCCCACAGCTACACCTACGTCCGCAAGAACCGCAAGGACCAGATCCCAACTGCTGCGGAGGTAACATTGTCCCGTTAGTGTTATTATTTCCAACAGCGTTTATGTAGGATGTGCTGTCGCTCTGTGCAGTGCTGTGTGTTAAAGCAGGGCTCGGGCTAGGGGCAGGGCCTGGCGTATGCGTAGGTATTGCAGGAGGAACAGTGGACTGGACCTGACCAACACCTAAACCAGCCGACTGAGGTGGTGAGGAAGTCGCTACAGTGTTTAGCACGTTTGTATTCTGGTTGGGCAACACACTGGTAGCATGAGGACTGCCTGGCAAAGCGTATGAAGCTGGTGGAGGTGGCGGTGCTGCTGTGGAGAGACCAGCTGCTGGAAGAACTACCTTTAGATTGGTAGGCTGAGGGATTGCTCCTGGGTTTCCCTCAATGTGAGGCACCATTTGATTCAGTCCTACCACCTGGGACGCAGGTTTTGTGATGGGATCTGTAGTAGGAACTGGGGATCCTGGGAAACTACCTGGATTGTGGACTGGGATAAAGGCAGTATTTGGTGATCCAATACTTAAGTTTCCTGTCGGCTGCTGTGGTCCATTAACTGTGCAACTGTCCGATGATCCCTGTGGAGAGGGCATTTTCAATCTATGTATTGCCAAATGCAAAGCAGGACTACCAGGCTGGACAGAATGTGGAAGGAAAGTGGATGGGACTGGCAGAGGGGAAGCCATCAGCTCAAGGCGTTTCTCAGGTTCACCAGAGGTCACGGGGCCCATTCCACCAGGAGGTGAATTTGCAGACTCTCTCACTGGCGAGACAGCAACAGGCGTGGTAACGAGCATCCCCATAGTTTTACCATCTGCAGATATGGGTGGCGGGACAACTGCTTCAGGCTTTTGGGCAGCGCTGTGCATCACACAGTGTAAGGCAGGCATGAAGGAAATATGTTGAAACTTTGCATTCAAAGGATCTTCTGAAAGGCTTCCATTTTCATTATTTACTGAAGAGATCTGAGCAGACGATTTGTTTATATTCGATGAACTGACAGCACTGTAGCCTGTAAACCTGGATGTATTTTGATTCCCAGAGTCCTCAGAATTGCTGTCTGTATCTGTGGAGACAAAAGCATTTGTCAGAGTCAGAAGAACAAATGTGAAACAACATAGTCATGCCCTGGACTCATTTACCCATCTAAAACTTCCCAAGTTTGATGATGCAAATGGTAGTTACGCCTTCCCGAATAAGAATAACTTTGAGATTATTTCCATTCATCCCAATCAAGCTAGGTCAGTCTCCACCACTTGCCTATATCAAACTGCCCAACTGGCTACTAGACCTTTGACTTGTGCATATCTGCAAATGTGAAGAGTAGGACACAGACCTACTGGTTGCATCTACCAAGAAAGACATTAACACAGCTTACTCAAATTTGGAAGGAGTGGCAAATTAAACTGTTAATACAAAAAGAAGGATCTCTCAGGCACACAATTCGATATAAAACGGGTCCCTTTCATGCCAAAGTTTTTCCCATTCCTGTAATGTTGAAATTTCTCAAAGAGAGCTATGCTGTTGAAGTCAGAAAATTACTACACGTATGTAGTAACCTAGAACTCAGTGGTTTAAAATGGTTTAAACAGTTCTGCTATTTGCTAGAAGCCTTCAAACTATCCAGTCATGAAACCCATAAAGCAAAATGTGTTCTGTGGCTAGCTCAGAAATAAAAGCAGCTAATAAAACTGAGAAACTAATTAAAATTAATACAAGAAAGAGATTAGTCTAGGAATAAAGACATTCATGCACACTATCCATAAATACCACCTCTGTCTTTTTCTTCTTCACTATCAAAGCTTTCCCTCCCATCATGTCGTGGACTAGAAGGAGAACTGTAACTTTCAGATGATGTTTCTCCACAAGTGTCATGACCAGATCCAGCGTCCAAATTCAGATCTAAAAATAAAAATTGGTATTTTTATTTTTAATCTCAGTATATGGAAGCAAGGTTATTTTGGTTTGCTCACATCTTGCGCTAGTTCAAATTTTTGTTTGCTCCCACTTAATTGCATCTGTCCCCCGTACTCTTAACACTCCTACTCCCAGCAGTCAGGACTGCTCTTGTCCCTAAATTTATGATGACTGAATCCTTCGTGTTAAAGAAGGTGACGCCAAAAATTGATATTTATGCAGAGTAGTGAAAAGAATGCTCATCCTTAATATATTTGGTGATGCTCATACCGAATTGTACTACAATAATAATTTCCTCTGAATGGTACTGATCAAATGTTTCCATTCAAAGAGATGCAATACTGCTTGGTCAGCAAATACATAAAGCTAACTCAGCGGGCAACACCAAAATAATACACCTTTTTTTATAATTAAGTCTTCCGGAACAGGCTTTAAGCAAACTGTATCAACAAAACCCATTTAAAGAAAAAGAGATGAACCAAAAAAGCGTAGAATTGTTTTCTAAATGGGATAATGGGAAACTCATTTGCTGTAAACCAGCTTTCAGGGTGGGTCTAGATCCTACTAGTGAAGTCAAGCAGGTAGCTAGTATGCTCTGGCTTTCAAGCTCAGCCTCAGAGGTGAAGGAGCAAGACAGATGCACCCTCTCTCAGAACGTATGCCAGACACTAGCTTCATAGAAACACCAACCCCCAAAAACTCGGTTGGCAAAACTCCAGGCCAAAAATTAGAACACTATTATTTATTTCATTAATGCTAATAAATTAGTATTTTCTTTATAAATTATTAATTAATTTATTATTACTATTGCAAGCATAACAGGTTGGGATAAGTCATCAAAAAGCTGCCTTAATGCTTCAATTCTTGAAATCATTTCCTGGATTAAACCTGTAACTGGTCAAATTATTTTAACAAGTGTTTTGAATATCTGATATAACCTGGAGCAGCAAGTGTCAACCTCACATCACTGACAGCAGGAGTCTAAAGTGCTAGTCACAAAGTATCAAGTCTTCACGGTTACAAGTGTAACAACTGATGACTCAGGAAAGCTAAAAATGAAGGAAACATGATGCAGTTAAAGAGTTACTGACTCAAAATAGAGCATTTCAAACCAAGCCTGGATATACCAAGCTAGGCAGAGATTCAGACTGCAACATGAAATTTTTTCTTTAGATTATGTCTCCAATAGGGTATCTCAAAAGACATTTTGATGTCTGTACACAAATGCACAGGTAGAAAGCTCATCTCTGACAAGGACTTAATTGCTTCCAGCCTCTGTGGGTTGCAGTTTCTTCTTGGAGTGGCCTTAACTAGCCAACAGTACCAGACAGGCAGTTTCACATCTGTAGAGCAGCAGGTAGTGAGCAGACATTGCTCTTAAGGCAAAGCATTCCTTATTTAACCTTGCACTACTCACACAAGATTGCACCACCTCTTAAAGTTATCTCAGTTCATAAAAGCTCAGTGCATTTTGCCTGACAAGAACAGTAATCAATCAGAAATTTACGCAGCAAAGCTGTCCTGTAGAGTGTATTTTATGCTCGTACAGCCCTTAGCTATAACTTCCTAAAATTGTCCTGGTTTCGCTAAGTTTGTGAACTGTGAGTTCTTAAAGTTTTAGTTAAATGCTGTCTGTAGAAGGTAACAAAAACTGCCCATAAAACACTGACAATAATTCAGAACAGGATCCACCTGGAACTCTCAACAGCGAGAAGCAGAAGAAGAAAGAAAGAATGGGAGCTTAATCAAGACTGTACCCCAAGTGGAAGCAAGAACAAGACAAGGCACTTTGTGAAAGTCCTTTCAACACTTATGCCAATTAGGTGGTTAGAAAAAGGCAAATTCTTTGTCAACTTTCTGTCAGGAGAGCTAAGTATAAGAGAGGCAAGGCTGCAACTGATATTGGGAGCCTAGAAAACATCAAGATAGCAGAGTCAATGGGTAACGTAGCCCTTCAGAAATTTGTAATAAGGCTTGGAGGCTCAATTTACTAAAAGAACACAAATATCATTTTTCTTATAACTGACTGATGTACACAAGTCTTGGCCTAGACACTAGATTTTGCTGGATTACCCAAACTTGAAAACCCTGTTACGGTAGCATAGAGAGTTGTGTGTTGTAGCTCAGCAGTCACTTGGTTTATACACTACAGTTCATCAACAGTTTGCACCAGAGGGATTTTATACAGGTTCCTCATGGGCCATTCCGCAACAGCTGAAGAAACCAGTGAGCTGTGAAGAGAACACTAATGGCGAAATGCTAGACCTCCACACACTCAGACTGCTAAATTTCATATACAAGTAGCCCAACATTAACTGCTTCTGCAACTACCACTCCCCATAAGGCAACTTATGGAGGCTTTAACTAATATTTTTCCAGTTATTCATGAAAAGAGACATACCCTAAGCAACTGCATACAGAAGACTGAGTCTAGTATGTTCTACACAGCAAGTCAAAGCACAGACTAGACAGCCAACGTGCTGACTTGCACCAAAACAGATTTCAGACTTGTGATTTCCCCTTTACTGCAGAACAATGAATAAATCAGCAAAGCTGGAAATTCTATTTCTTACAAATAGCTTGGGAAAAAACATCTTACCTTTTGCTGTCCCTGTACGGACGTGCTGTGATGCTGCAACTCTAACTCCATTAGTCCTGTTATTCAACCGGCAGTCAGTTTTCTTTGCTTTCTCCCTGTGTAAATAAATTTAATGTTGGTTTTTTTTTTTTTTTCCCAAATGCACAAGCACAAATAACCAACCATCAATGAACATATAATGCCACTGTAAACAATGTCAGTGACTCCAGGCAAGAAATGTATATTTAATAGCTGTAGCAACAAATGTAGATAATAAACAAACAGGTAAAGGCTGTTAGTGTAACGTAACAGGAACTAAACTAAAAAAGAAAACATACAAAAAAAGAAACGGTGCAGCTGATTCTAAAGTTGTCTTTGAAAGCTGATGTGTGTAATGCAGCTGTACACCAGACTAGCATAGAAGCATCTGGCTATGGAGTAACAAAATGACAGAAAATCAACTCGGAAGTAGGCAGAGTATTAGGCAAGGGTGAAAATGTTTACACTTCCTCACAGTGCAGGATTGTGTAGCTCACAGGAAGTTCTGAAGCCCTCTGATGTGCAAATTATCTTCAGTAAAACATTTCAGCAAGTTACTACCCACTGCATGATGTTAAAGATTGCTGTCAATCCTTATTTGATTTTCAGTGTTTTCTGGACCTTTACACCTTTTAACTTTCAAATAAATATTAAGGGGAAAAAGGTAATTCAGTGTCAGTTAAGAACCTATTCCTGCTCCTTCAACTTTTTGCTAAATGACAACTGATATTTTGACAAAATGAATGCATACAATTAGTCTATTTTTCAAGTTACTCCTTTTCAGAAGATAAAATAAGGGGGTTTATGTACACTGACTTCACACTATGCTAGCTTTTGTTCCACAACAGCAAAACAAAGCACCTAATTGATTGTAGGCTCTGCTTATCATTGTGAATGCATTACACTTTGTTTCTGGATTGCTGGTTACATTGGAAACCTACTTTTCCAGCTGTGGTTTTCCTTTCTTCTTGATTACTGTAGACAGACTTCGTTTTTCCCCTGTATGCTAGACAGAAAATACAAAGATGCCAGTCAAACAACAGAATCTGTATCACAAAAAACAATAAAAAAACCCCTTCTAGACTGACAGGTCTGTGAGTCCAAGACTAGTGCACTCACCATGGTGCTATAACCATACAAACAACTACTTGTACAGTGCATCTAGGCCTTTAGAATAATGCATCTTCCCTTGTGCTTATGCACTCAGCAAATTACTACTTGCAAGTATGCCAAAAATATCAAATTATTGTCTGCATGCTGTCTTTTCTCTTGAGGATAAAAACAAATGTGTTTCATCACCTACGCGCTAAAAAGGCTAATCACAAGGCTTACAGGGCTACAAAAGTTATTGATTTTAGTGGAATTATTTGACGGTTGGGGGGTGGGAAGTACATATGGCAAATTATTTTTACATAGTGACAAAGTAGGTACCCAGCTGCTGCTAAACTAAACTCTAGAATACAACCTAGAAGCACATAAGAAAAACATAGCATTTACATAATTCTTTAAGTATACTATTACTACCCAGTACTATTACTAGTAATATCTCATATTTGGCAACGGAGTAGAATTTAGGAGAACTAGGAAATAATCTTTGTCCAAATATGCTGGTTTTGGACATTCTTTAAGTAGTAAGTAGCTTTTCCTCTACTTTACTATGGGGTTTTTTTTCTTGCCTCAAGCTTGCAATATTTCAAGCTTTTGTGCAGTCTATCATTTAACCCGTAGAAGCAAATCTCAACTCATTACCCTGCTTTGTGAAAGAAGGAAACTGTTTTTGTTTGGCTTGCTATTGCCCCCATAACAACCAATAGCCAAATTCTGCATGCAGAATAAGAGCAATATTAAGCAATTCTAACATCCAAGGTGGTTCAGATGTAAGCAGTGAGCAACCTTCCTTCCCCCAATTTCAGTACATGATTTTATTCATAATTATTCTTCTCAACTATACGCACACCAAAATTGACCACTGAAGAGAGACACAAATCTCACAAAAAGTGTATACACATCTAGCTATTAACTTTTTTCAACAAAGATTAATACTTCAGTTACTTAGATAATGCAGGTAAGATAGAAGGAATATTTAACCTGTTGGCCCTACTGTAGCATTAATATGGTTTAATTATTAATACAGCTTCTAGTTTTTTCCTTGCAATAACACAGAAATTCCCCAGGCGTTCTGAAATTCTCTCTGAAGACAGTACGTTACAGTAACAGGAAAGTGTCTGATTAGAAATGAACATTAGACTTTTCTGATTATTTATATCCTACTGGGAAATTTTATTTACACATCCATCAACAAAATATGCAACTTTATGAGACACTGCTAAGCAATTATGAGGGGTTTTCTAGTCAAGGTAAGTCAGTAGGAACTTGAACTTTGACACTTATTTGTACAATTTTAGCAGGGCTCCTCATCTTTTAAAGCTAAATCTAATCACGTGTAGCGGACAGTCTTCTCAGGTGTCTCAGAATATTGCCTTAAAGAAAAAACAGCAACACACCTGGTCAAGTAGGTTTGTACAGTGCTCTGGGTGCTGCTGGACAATACAGCTTTTTCTCCTCCAGTCCATTACCCCATTTTGCTCAGAGTGCTGTATGTTAAGGCTATCCAGTGAAGAACATTTCGCACTGCTAGTGCTGCTGAAAGGAAAAAACAAAAGTTATGCCGATGTGAACAAACTTGCAGGCTTTTCCTACCAACATAGACATTTTTGCATCACGTTAGGAAACTGTGGTATTTTGCTTTCAGAAAACCCTAGAAATTCTCAAAAGATTTGAAGATGTAAATTACAGAAGTTCTTGTGCTCTAAAGTTGTACTAATGATCTGAACATAACTGGAGTTCCTTTTTCTTTTGTCTACCACAATTTGGTGCAAAATTCAGAACAACAGAATTTGTAGAAAACAGTAATTGAGAGAAGAGTTTCCATGGATATTTCTGCACACGAAGTCTTTTTGTTTGCTTTTTTTCATACCAGACCTGGGGAAATTTTCCAGATAGAAAGGTATTCTGAATTAATCTTTTTTCTTCTTTATTGTTCATGACAAAGCTGGAATTACTTTGTAATCCATTTCAGAATTCATGAGACATTTAAGAAAAGGAACGCATGTCTACTTGCAGATCATACTGCAGCTGTATTTCAAAATAGTAATTTTGCTTTATATTTTTACCTTCAGGATTGCTAGTTTTGTGTAGTGCTTGGAAACCAGGATTGCTAGTTTTGAGTAGTGCTGGGAAAGGGGAGGTGCATTTGGCATTTACTTTGGACCTTCTAATGCCTTCCACTGAATCTTCTCTTAACAGCAGCCAGTCAGAAGCAATATTTAACTAGGTCTGAGAGTGCTGGTCAACAAAGACTGCTGGAAAAACAGTCAGGGTTCTGACAGAGTCAGTAGGGCACATGGACTATAAACTTTTCAGCTATTGTACAAAACCAACTGCTGACTGGATGCCAATTAAAAAAAAAAAAAAAAAAAAAGAGTTAACAGTTTCAAATTCTTATCAAAATACTTATCCTGATAATTGAAAGTAACTTTTAATTCAGGGCTGTTGGAAAGATGCTTCCTGAAGGCTACTGCAATATGAAATGTTACTCAGTTCCCATGATGACAGAAATCAAGCTCACTCCAAAGCACAAGACATGCTAAGTTCCAGTACCTACTTACCAAATACCTCTGCAAATAAGTGCTCAAACTACTTAAAAGATGTACAATAGAATATTAAAAAAATAGGTTTAAGAAAATGGTGAGAACCAAGAAGGTCCAAAAATAGAGACACGAGCCCATGACTGCAGAGATATATAAGCAAGGTCTCTTTAGAAACTTCTGCCGAATGGAGTTAAGTGAATCCACTGCCAGATTTGCAGTCATGTCATGTAAGCTGTGATACTAGTGATTTTTTTACTTCGTATGTCCAATCTCATTCCTACCAGTAAATGTTTTGGAACTTTTCAAGAGTAAGGCTGCCATACTGAATAAAAACAAAAGGTAGACAGATGTAATGTACAAATTTTCCTAAAATGTACCAATGCTATTTGAGATGAACTGCTCTTGACTCTAGACTGTTTTATACATTTTTAAAAGAGAAAAGTTCCATTCAGTGGCATTTCTTAGAACCCATAAATAGCAGCACAGATTTTAAGAAGACAGACGCGTAACATGAGCAGGAGAGGTGTAAGAGACCTCTAGCAGTCAAGTAGTAAACACATTTTCCCCTGTTAAATAAACAGAAAATAATAGCTAGCAAAAGGAGTTTCCATCAGAAGTTTGTGGAAAGGCCCTATCCCTGTCTTTCCTACCTGAAAGATAGGATCCTAAGCTACAGTTAGCTTTAGTATACTTTATTGTACAATGAATAAAAAAAAGACAATTTTTTTTTTTTTATTAGTGACTATATTGTATTAAGTTTGGATCCCACTCTTAACGACTTCATAGTAGGCTGTATATCCACTGGTATAATCAGAGATTTTGTCAAGACATTCTCTTCTCAAAGAAATGCAAGTTGAGAGTAAGTAGGAGGGTTAAAAAACAAAACAGAAACAAATGACTAAATTGTCCAATTGGTAATTTCACAAGATTCTTCTCTGTAAAGGATCTGTGAACTTTAACCAACATAGTTTTGTGCTTATTATTGTAATTCCAGGTAATTCCTCCCTCCTTGCCCCCCCCCCCCCCTCCCCCCCCCCCAACAAAAACACCTTACACAGAACAAAACTGTAAACCACAATAAATTTTGTATCCATTTTTTCTCTTAATATAGTTGAAGTATTGCACAACTATGTGCAAACATATCCAAAGTTTCTGGTCAACCTACATTAAAGGGTGAATTCACATTACATACTTCATGTAAAGTATACATAGTACACTGAAAGTATATATAAACTACTTTAATGTGGTTAAGATCTGCTTCCACTTAAAATGGATGTAAAATAGCAAAGCATACATGCTTTTGCTACTAAGCAAGGGAAAGAATGAACTACCTTCTCCTATAAGGTCATCTTTGAAGGTAGTGAAGAAAAGCTTAAAATCAACAGCGCTGGAAATCTTCAGTATATGCATGCATGTGTGTGCACATGGGAAAAATACATGCAATACAAATTTATGTTACTCAGCTTATAAATACAAATCAAAACATCATCTCAAGTAGTGAAGATTCACAAAATTTGGGAAAGAATAGAGTTCCAAATGACCTAGACCCACAGATGTAGAAATAGAACCTTTTGAAATATTTTTCTAATACAGATTAAGTCAGTAACACTCCCTCACAAACAACAAAAAATAAACCAAGAACACCCCACCCCAACCAAACAAAACCCCCCCACATAAACTTTAATCTAGAAGGAAACACATACTCTTGAACCACTATCAAATGAAGTTCAGAAACTTAGAATGGTGACATTATATCCTAGTACCTACTTGGCAACAGGACTTTTTCCATTATGTTTCTTGTGAACTGCTGTGTGTTGCATTACATCTGGAAAAAAATAAACAAAGCATAATTTCAATAGCAATTCCTATTTCCTCTTTTAGTTCAATCCAACAAATTCATCTTTCTGTCACTACCAGACACTTAGCAGAAGACATCTCTGTTAAACAGGCTACGCTTAATTTACAATGCTGAAATTAACAGGCGTTGCATAGAGGACAGATCAGTTTGTACAGACAGTATAATCAAGACTCTTTGCCTTCCATTTCACAGAAGAACAAAACAGAAAAATAGGAACTGTAACAGCCGTTTATGTTTGCTCACCTCTATGTTTAATCATAAGGACTAAATGCGTGACCCAGTATGAAAGGATGGAGAGAGAAGAAAGGATTCAGTCAGAAATGTACAGAATTTTGTAATTTCTTCTGAACTGCTAAAATTCATCTCAAAGCTATGTCACACATTCTGAATAGTGAATGAAGACAAGTCTTACACAGAAGTATTGCGTTCTGAACCTCAAAATTCACTACGCAAGTAAAGCTTTCCAAATTACATTTGACATAAAGAGATACTGCCTCAAACAAGAAACAAGACCTTTATAGACATGGTCTACCCTTTTCTTTAAGGCAACCACTAGATTTTAACAAAAACAACTCTTCTTAATTCCAACTGTTGATGATCTTAACCTTCTTGGTAGCTATCATTTTGCCTGAACTCTTCTCAATGCTACAATTAAGATTTTCAAAAAACCAAACAAAACCACAACTGTTAAACTTCTGGCAGCACTTCACTAGCCAGAAAAGGTGTTCTGAAATGCATTTGTAGTTTCATCAGGTGAACAGGTTTTGTTTTTTTTTAAGGACAGTATATAAAACACTATTTGAGCAATTTCCAAATAAATTGTAAACTTACTTGGTGCATTCTGAACTCTGAAGAAAAATACGGTAATGATTTTTTTAAATAAGAAAAAGCTGTCTGAACTGCATATGTGGATTACTGATTGCACATAAGATCAACTGCTGCTTCTTAGTTATTAATGTGTAACAGGGTAAGAGCGGTGTCATTCTGTGAGAACTAGTGTAAGTCTTCAGTGGTTCCTGTTCACCTCTCAGCCCCATTTCTCATCCTTTCCACCCACCAGAAGCTTGTACTTGTTTGCTACTGAAAACAATGCAAAACTGTCTCACCATTCCTTTCAGAATGAAACTACTGACCAGCCACTAGGCTGCTGCTTCCACATGTGAACTGGTTTTGAGGTATTTTGAAAACACCAGCTTTCAGACTGTAATCAATGCTCACTACAGTCCCAAACAGTCCTTATTAGCAGCACAGAGTATAAAAGCAGCATAGGGTAAGAATAAGAGGAAAACTTGAACATCCTTTCTGTGTAAAACTAAAAGCTGGACAAATTTGGCATATTTAATGCAAAACAGTCTGCAACTCTTGAAATGCTGCACTCAACTTCTAACCCTGGTAAATGAAGAACAGGTAAAGACATGAAAAGCTACAAACAATCTTGGCTAAAGTAAATTGTCAAATGTATCTCCCTGGTTGCTCAACACAGCTGTGAACTTCTGCCTCCAAGCTGTCTATAAACACTTCCACTCCTTGGATTATTATGTTACAGCAACCTCCTAAGGAAACTGCTGAAAGTATACAAAAATTCTTCATTTACACAGCAGATTTCATTCAAATCTCTCAGCTTTGTACCAACGAAGAAATCAGTCAACTGCATGATTTCCAGAACTGAGTGTGGTAAAATTTCTCAGAGAAGAACCACCTTTGAGTACACAACTACCTTCCTCCTGACTTGAAGCTTCTGAACTGTCCTCCTTGAAGTGTTCTGGTGCCTTAACGGTCTTCAAAGAGGGTTGTAAGTTACCTGCAGAGAATAAAGTTCACGTAGTAACTTTATAGATCTTGAACAACTAGACAGTTCCTGAATGCTTGCACTAAACTGGAAGCTAGGGAAATGGAAGACTGAACTTACTGGTTTGCCTGTGGCAGTAATTTGAACATTGTCTCCTTCAAAGCAGGCCATCTCCAAGAGTAAAGGCTCTATGGAGATACTTTTATTTTGAAGAGAAGAGTGTGCAAACCAATTTTAAAGCTATGGTGCCATTTCATAAGGTTGGCATTGTGACCATAGTATTAAAAATATTCCTATTATCCTGCACTTCAGATTTTTTTATCATCTTTTTGTGATACAGCAGGAAATGGAAGGAGACAAATGATAGTTACTCTCCTCCAATCTCAAATCATTCACCTGCCAAAAGAGACTTAATTTGGGCTAAAGTCTTCTACTGCCCTTAACACAGACTTCATGCACAATTTTTGGCTTTTTATGCCAGACGAGATGGAAAAAGAAGTGGCAGTAATATTTACAGTTTTGTTGCAAAAATACCACTACAATGCTCTAAAAAAGGACTATATTTAGTAATTAAACTAATTCTAGGAGTCTACCCTTTCTTTCTCAAAGAGTTCCAAGTTAGTGCAGGTAAAAACATCTGAAAGCTGTTGCTTAGGATCTTGAAACGTTGATAGGAAGATCCTTCTGAATACTGTCTGCATTGAACATACTAAGCGCCCAGAGACCATGCTCTAATTAAGTCTGTTGGAATCAAAAGTCTACTCCAGCCTGGCAACGTGTCTAAAATAACTGACGTTATGAACCAGGAGGGAGCTAATTGATTTACTCCTTAATGGAATGACGGCTGCATAATTACGCTCACTGAATATATTATTCAGTGTAAGATCCCAACTATTATTTAAGGCATAAAGACCCTTCACCGAACACAGAATTTATTTCCAAATAGGTTGGAAAGCGTGAATATTTTTGTGCTTCCATAAAGAGATATTTTTATCCCCAGCTCTAAATAGCGACTGAAGACCAATTTAAGCCACAACTGCTTTGTCTGCCAATTAATTCTGCACATCCGTTTGACAGCTATGATGAGATTTTTCTTAAAGATACGCTTCCTTCCCTCTCCCCACACTGTCATCACATTCAAAATACACCACCAGGGGCTAACTTGCAATTGCAGGTATTAGCAGGATTTCAGGAATTCCAAACCGGAAACCTAGAAAAACACAGAGGTCACCTGCGGTGAGCTACCCCAGACAAGTCATCCAGTCCCCCTTCTCAAAAAAACCCAACTATGCTTAGATTTATCATGCTGTTTGTCTTCACCAAACTTTTTCTTAATATCCAACTCAGTGCCAGGGTCCTGAACCACACCAATGGGCTTTGAAACCTCCTCCCCTGCCCTCCCAAGGGCCTCACTTGCCTGTGCTCAAGATCCAGTCTGATACAGTGAAGTTTTGCAATTTTGTGGGGGGCTGCTGGGAAAAGAACTGGCAGAGGCCTCATCTGGGGCCCCCATCCTTTGGCTTGGGAGCCACATTTGAGCTCAGGCCCTTGCCAGGGGTGCACTGCAGCCTGGCCACACACCTTGCTGAACCTGTTCTTAACCCTGACCTACTGACTTGTTTTTCTGCCTTGACCTCAGACCTGTCTCACTGCCTTGGACTTGTCTGGTAACCACCAGATTATTCTTGCTTGACCCTGGTCCTAATCTTCCTCATAGCAAGTTAAGCCCAGTGCTTTCTGTTTTATCCATCTGAGAGAACAGATCATCCTCTTTACATTATGACTCTGGTATCTGAAGACAAGTCATCTTCCACTGCAGTTTTTCCTCCTCTCTGCTAAACAAATTCTTCATCCCACCTGTCATGCATTTTAGATCTGACAAATCCTCATGAACTTTCACGTACCCAATTATTTATTTATTATTATACAAATTATCTCCTGTTTACGATCACATTATAATCTGTAAGACTTCCTGCAGAATTGACATTTGTCCATTTTACCCTTCTGATCCACCTACCCTGCAAATAGTTTCTGCCCTGCACTAAGCCAGCGAAGTTAACCGCGCTGGATCTGGCACTGGTTCTTTTTCAGACCATTTCAAATTATAATCCCGTATAACAATGCATTTGCAAGTCTCCCCCACCTAGATGTAGTCTGCAGACTGAAATTTGCATGCTCTGTGCAGTGTGCTTATCATTAATATGAATCTGTCTGGACTTTGGAAAGTCTTTCCTTCCCATGCAGCCTTTCATTACAACAAAGTTGTCAGAATTTTCACAGTGGTCAATTCCAGCCAGTTTCACAATCCTGGACCTCATTAGCTTAACTTTTTCACGGAACTGCCCTGTAAGTATGCCCTAAATGTTACTAAAAAAAAAAAAAAAAAAAATCAGCTCCTATCATCATCATCACAAGGCCTCTATCTGATCATGGAAGAACACATTTGTCACAGATCACACCCATCATTTCAAATTAAAGTCAACTGTCATGCCTCTATTTTCTTCCAAGTGCGTACAAGCAGTCTGTTTGAAAACTCCAACTTATTCAATTCCTTACTAACGTCTTCTGCAACTTCTGAAGCAATGGCCTCACAGTCAGTGCCTAAACTGTCATAGTGTATAATATGCACTGAAAGAAGAAAAGATTCAACAGAAAAAAAGACCACATCCTAAGGCATCCATACAGAGAAGCTACGCTTAAGCTGTATGAACAATCTGTAATACACAAGTAGGTACGATGTCCTCCAAGGAAATCTCTGCGATGCAAATGCTTTGAACAAGATTCTGTATGTTCTGAAATTAGGACCATCCCACTATTTATGTACTATATCCCAAAATGAATCTTAGTTTAAATATCAAGACAAATACTTCAAAAGAAATCAAATAAAAAACAGGTGTGATTTTTTGGGTCAGCTCAAGCTTTTTGTTCCAAAGTTTAAGATTTCTTAAAAGGACAAAGTCCCAAACTGTTGCACATACTCAATTTGTAATTGCGTATTTTAATAGCATGATGGTACAGAAGAGAAGAAAGAAAGAAAAGAACACAAGCTGATGCTACATAGTACATTCCCACTGTCAAAAGCATGAGTATCTGCTGAAGTGACTATTCATTGCTAGGGAGTTCAAACATGACCAGCAGAATACAATGTAACATGAATACATAATTATACAAACATAATTAGGCAAGACATGAAGAATAGTTTTTTATAGACTTTTTGTTATATAGAACAGTATTAGGCTATTTCTTACTGTGAGTGTGCAAAGATTCTGATGAAATTGATTGGAAGAAGTTGTATACTCTCTGATTCTGCAGAAAAGCTTGTGATGTATTTGAAAATAGCTGCCTGAAATTTAAATGAGAGTTTGTTAAACTGTAATATTTCATAGGAAGAATACAAAAATTTACTACAGTACTATTTAAGAACAAAGCAGGCAGTTCTTAAGAAGTCCAAACACTTGAACTTGCACGTTCAGCACAATGTTAAATGCTACTTTTGAGCTTTGTTGTTCGGTGCTAGTGTAAGATCAGTGTACAGTCAATACAAGAAATCGGTATGATGAACTTTTTTTAATTTAAAAGGTATGTGCTTTTGAGTCATCCCAATTCAAACATTTTAGCCACCTGTAACATTTTATCAAAGAGGAGTTTGGACTGAATCAAAAAAGCACTGGACTTTATATTTTAACATGTAATTTCCCAAAGTAATGCACCTGTTCCTTAAATACACTTATTTGGTTAAACACAAGGTTGAATTCACCTATAATGTCAGTATTTGAGTTTTATAATTATCTCCAAGAGCAAAGGGTGGGATTCTCAATACTGGTCTGCACTGGTCTGCGTCTGTTTCTAAGAGGTCAGCAACAACTATTAGCTTCAGATAAGAAAACAGGCCAAGAATGAATGGTTTTTCCATCCCACACCAAGTTTTTAGTTATTGCTTGCCAGGAAGCACCACCTAGTTTTATCTTTTTTGGGGGCAGGGGGAAGAAGGAGAGGGGCAGGGGATAGCCATTTTTGCAATTGTGCATTGTTGTGGTTTAACCTGGAAGGCAGCTGAACACCACAGCTGCTCACTCACTCCCTGCCTCTCCAGTGGGATGGGGGAAAGATTCGAAAAAAAGTAAACCCCACGGTTTGAGATAAAAATAGTTTAATAAAACAGCAGAGGGGAAAAAAAAATCATCAGAATATACAAAACAAGTGATGCACAATGCAATTGCTCATCACCTGCTGACTGATGCCCATCCTATCCCCAAGCAGCAATTGCTGCCCCCCCCCCATCCAACTCCCCCCAGTTTCTATACTGAGCATGACGTCATATGGTCTGGAATGCCCCTTGGCCAGTGGGGGTCAGCTGTCCTGGCTGTGCCCCCTCCCAGCTTCTTGTGCACCTGGCAGAGCAGGGGAAGCTGAAAAATCCTTGACTGGTGTAAGCACTACTTAGCAATGACTAAACCATCAGGGTGTTATCAACATTCTCCTAGTACCAAATCCAAAACACAGCACTATGCCAGCTGCTGGGAAGAAAATTAACTCTGTCCCAGCCGAAACCAGGACATGCACACACACAATTCACAATTTGTGTTTAGGCAGCAGGATTTCTACTGTCCCTGAAAGTCATCTAGTTTGAGATTAATCACTTTTCAGGTGATGCATTTCAGATTCTTTGCCAAAATATTTACCTGATTGTGGACTCAAGATCAGCATGCCTTCGTTCTTCCCTCTTCTGAAAACCCTGATTTAGTGCTCTTAAAATAGTCTTGTCAAATGCTTCAGAAGACAGTTCCTTTGGGAGCTGAGAAAAAGGTTAATGTTAAAAAATAAGTAGTTGACATTTTAAAGACCATATTTGTTCACCATCAGCCTTTTTATCTTTTGGTATCAATAAGAAACTCTATTGTTCCAATTTGAGTAAGGTATTTTACAGACTAAAGGTACAACAAATCGTCATAATTTAGTTTTACAAGAGAAACACTTTGCTGTAAAGCCTCACATCAAATCCAAGTGTCAGACTGTTTAAAGCTCTATTTGAAAGAACTACATTCAGAAATTTACCAACACTATGTTCTTTTCCAGACTAATTTACAGCCTTTTTTGATTTATTTCTTCAAATCTTTCACACACAGAAAGTACGTCTGAAAATAACATAAAAAAATTACTGGGGGGACTGAATGCACTGTACTATCATCACTTAGCTAGATCAAATTATTTTAAAGAAACAGGAGTAGAAAGGAGACTGCTTCAGTTTTATAATACACTAGACTTCAGTGTGCAATATTGACATTAATCAATAGCAAGTCCTTCTCCAGCTGCTATTAACACTGAAACGTATGAAAATTCATTATAACTGTTTGCAATGCCACTATTACAAAGTGAGGCCTTTTGATGTTCTAGTTCAGAATGTAAAGTTCTTGCATCTAAAGAGCATGTCTATTTTAAGTGAAAAATATTCCACAGAACAAAGATTTTTCACATTTTACCACTTCCAAAATAATGTACTGAAGTGCATGAAAGCTGACCAAATTTGTTAATTTATATTAAAAAAGTCTTTTAATTTTGGGGCAATTAAAAGTAAACTCCATCGCAAAAATGGTTTTTTCCTAAAGTTAAAAGCTATTGCTAATCTGGTTAACATCTGCTGTCAGTTATGATCAGCAGCACTAAGTCATTTACACTAAAGCAGCATCTTCCTCTCACATGTCTGGAACACACCCAATCCAGACTGCCAGCTGAATATTACATCCTGCTAGTGGTACAAGAGCAAAGCACTAAGTTATTCTTTCACTGAATGAAGTGCTACTGATAGTACAATTGCTTGGTAACATACATAAAAGGAACTTCTGGACAGACAGACTCCAGACAGGTGCTGTTAGTATTAGTTTAGTACAGTGTTATAGCACCTGAAGTGTGTTCAATATAAAAACAGAAAAGTGCTGAAAGCACCTTTTCGTAACTGACCCCCTTTAGCTTCTATATGTGCTATTGAGGAACTGACTGAAGAATTAGTCAGTATTAACAAAAGGTACCAAAAAACTACTGCAGAAGCATGGGGATGAGCAAACCTCCTGTTCTGGTGTTTTGCATTTAAATTTGTCTCTGGAAACAGCCACAACTTTCATTAAAAGGAATTCAATTCCTTCTGCAGTTAAAAGATTCAGTCATACAAACCCAAAATTAGGTGCTTACTATCTTAACTTCAGGTGGTGAGATAGCCTTGTTACTACAAGTTTGTTAGTCCTTCCACATATGTGGGTAATCTCCTACATGCAAAGAATTTCTTATGCTTATCACATAAGAGAAGGTGCTCTTTCAATTCAAGGCATCCAAGTTATCTTATTTACTACCTTAGTTTTTCCCACTGATGCTTCTATTCTGAAATAATTTTTACAGTTATCTTACTCCTATCACCCACAACCTTGGAATTTCCTATCAAATATTTTGACCATTCTTTTCTCTCCCTCGGAAACTCGGTGCACTACTTAACAATGCCATGCAGACTGGAAATAAGAACAACAAAAAGCCAAAATGCAAGTGTGTATGAACTGGACAGCATTAGTACTTCTACAGTGCTTTTTAAAGCAAGGTACAAGTTTTATCCTGCTTTATTTAATAATTTTCTCTTTCTTCTCTACTTATTGCTATCAAGCCAACACAACCCAAATACATTTTTTATCTGTGCACATTCTCCACAGAACACCTCGGCAGCCTGTGATTGTCTTCCTCTTGTCCTGCCATTTTCTATATATCTAGACTGCTGGAGCTGTCAAGCCAGCACACGGAACATTCCACATCTGAAGAACTGCCATCAGCCAAACTGGACAGCTCTGCAACATTTTGGATCCCTTCTGTTTGCCTGGCTCCTCCTCCTGGCAGCAAGTAGATACTAAACGGTCCATTTCAGAAACTGGTGTATGTCTTAACAGGTAGGAGAACAGGAGGCATGCAGTTGAACACTCATCCCAGAGCTGCACGGGACCCCATATGACAGTCCTGCTTTTAAGGTTCTCTTCAGGAGCAGATGTGTGTACCCTACAGGTTGTGGGACACCCCATCTGCAACTAGACATGCCATCCATAATTCAAATCTTCACAAATCAAGCTCTGGGAACTCTTGGAACCAGACACTTGAACTAGATTAATGCCGCAGTGAACACTCACTGCTTCATTTCTACAACACTAGAAAACATAACATTGATAGTTGAAGCAGTAATCAAGACAATGACCTTTGTACAGTAACTGGCTTTCCACTTGCAATTAACACTGCAGTTAAGAACACCAGATGCTAACAAAACATGCCCAAAACAGATCTTTCATTAGTGTCCTGAAGAGTGAGGAGTTTAAACATGTAATTTCCCAGAATAGGTGGGACCCGAACTATTAGATACTGGCAATGAGAGACACAGTTCAAGGTTATCATGCTCATGGGTCTACATATGCCCTATGCACACAAATGCATTCTCTGCTTGGAGGCAGGGTGAGAACAACTTAGAGAACTTTCACTTTTTTTACACACACGCACAAGTAGTTGCTAGATTTTCTCAAATTTAACTCCTTGTGACACTGAATATGCCTGCCTTTGTTCTACTGAAGAACACAACAGTAAAATTAAGAACTATTATGCTCATGGCTCTGCCTTATTAATTAGAAACAACAAATGATACTCTTAAAGGTCATTCTAACAGGGACACCAATAAGCAAACCAGCAGTGCTTGTACATTAAACCTGGGAAATATAAAAAACTCATCTGGTAGTTTTATGGTAGTTCAATTAAAACTGTAAGAGCAATTTCAGATGAGATATATGATCGCCTCCTGGGAAACTTCCCAAACATTCTGTTGAGCTGCTTCGTCTGTCCAAGCTGCTCCACCACACTATACATTATTTCAATAGTTAATACAATTGTGAAGTACAAAAATCTGGTAGCATGCTTTTGTTTCTGTAATTACATCCCAGAAATCACAGCTCTCCTAGACTACTTCTGAAGTTATAAACCTGACATGTAAACACTACTTTTCTATTTCCATACATACTTTTAGCAGGAATTCCTGAAGCTCCTGGTGTGTTTTTGTTACACATGTTACTGAAAGATCGGACCAGCTTACCTAGTAAAGAAGGAAAAGAGAATGAAGAAAGTTTCTTTTTCCAAGACTGTACCATACCAGTTAGCTGACCTTAACATTTCCATAAATCTGACGATCTCGGTATAAGAGTTTACACTTGCAGATAAGTAAATACCAGGCAAAACAGGGATGATGGTGCACCTTTTCAAAGACATACACTAATTTTGAGTGTACATTTTAAGACCACCTTCATGTTATTTGTGGCTACAGAGAGTATGGACAAATTCAGGTGAATCCAATGAAGTCCCTAAAGATTACTACCTTACTGACTCAGGAAGAAGCCAGGCAGAAGGCTCTGTAACTGCAGGGTCTTGTATCAGACAGACATCATTAACTGCAAAAACCAGGTACCAGAGAAAAGGACTGTAGGTCAGATATACTGTATTCAGCTCTTGCTGCCATTATCATGAATCAAAACAAAAAAAAGAAAAATCTCCCTTTGTTTATATCACCTATAAAACAATTTTATCAGCCTCAGGCTTGAATCTTACATGATCATATAGAAGTTGTTGTAGGGTACAATTCATAGAAAGTACTGTAAGTTACTGAAGAAGTTACTCAAGAATCAGACAACATTTTGGTATATGCTTGTATAAAATTTCAGTAGCTTATTGTTCTGACACAACATGCAAGTAGTAAAACATCACCTTCACATGCATATTTTCAGAAAAAAAGAAGTCAGCTTGGTTAGAGGAGTGCTGCCTGGCTTTAAGCCCACTTCTGGGCTTAAGATTCCCATTTCATGTATGGGAAGATTCTGTGTAATGGGAGTGGACAAGGCAATTACAAACATTCATTTACTCCGAAGAGTTGATAGGATGTCAACCACCAACTGCCTTCAACTTAGTCCCCAGAAATGCCAACTACTCTTGGTGCCTTCAGTTGGGAAGCCATGACTGTAATTGCTGTTATAACCTTAAAAAAGCAGTGTCTGGGCAAGCACAACAGGATCTGCAGTGAGGAGCACAGTATATACCTGCACAGATGAGGAGAGGAAACTCTTTCCTAAGAGAACTGAGGTGAAGGAGTTTCAAGCTTACTCAAATACACACTCCCCCTCCAACAAAGAAATTCAAAACCACTGTCAAATTTGTCTATGCACTCAATTTTCAAAATAGTTTTGTGACCTTAAATTACTAATCCATTTGGGCATTCTGTACAAACCTCTCCTATCTATTATTGTATTTTACCTAGTAAAATATAGTTTTAGAATACCTAGTTCACAGACTGTTCAGACAAAAATCTACGACAAGGTTGAAATACTTGGGCAAATTAACCTTTAAGACTTTGAAGGCGAAATTCCACATCACGGTCCTCAGCCAAAGAAGGGCTCAGAATTTTTTGCAAATTTCACCTTCAGACAAGATCAACAACAATGTATCTGTTGCCCCACCTTACTTCAAAAACAGAAATAGTTTTTTTAAGCTTCTAGTAATACCAGAAAAGACAAAACTCTCTAATTCACATCTATTTAGAGAACACAGTGTCAAATTTTGGGACCAACACATTAGTTTTCAGCTCAAAATGGCATTTTTTTTAAGTTTGCCTCTTCAAAGAGCTCCCATGACCCATGTCAAATGGCCAGTTATGTTTGATCTAAAATATTCTTTTGTTTGGAGAAAAAAGGTAAAATTTAACTCTATATTCAAATCTGGTATACTACCAGACTCACATCTATTGGCCAAATGACTCATAAGATTAGTCAGTCCTTGCTAAGAAAATACTACTTTGATTCAATTAGAACATCACCACCAACAGCCTTAGTAGCTATTACGTAACACCTACAGCCTTTAATACCAGACCTCAATACCATAAGTTTCTTTTCCAAAGTAGTGAGAAGCAGTGTTTCAGTTTTGTTTAAAATTCACTCACGTAACTGTTTTATATGTTGCTTCTGGCTATTATAATACATGAAGACTATACTAGGTAGGCCTTCAAGTTTGTTTATATGTTAGCTTGTTTGTTTTTATGTTTACAAACAAAACAAACCACAAATAAACCAACCAACCCCCAGTTTTGTCAAAACCGGCAGGAACCATCCTCTTATGTTAAACATTCATGAATGACATCTAGATAACGATATGACTCCAAGCAACATGTAACTGCAGACACAAAAGAACTGTGTTCCTATGCCAACTGAGCAATCAATCAACTAGTTTTAGACTCCTTTGTAATGCTTACCCCAAATTGGCAAAAGCCAAGTTTCCTGAAGTGATGCCACACACCCAGCTATGGCTGGTGTTTTACACCTTCCCACCTTATGCCCATAATTGCACAAAACACCTGATCTGCACACAGAATCCAAGAGAATGATAGGATAATTCTAAGAATCTCTGAAGACCCTAAGCTAATTCAAAATTGCCTTCTGGGCAGGTATTTGAAACAAGCTGTATGTATCTACAGTACTTAGATATCACGAAGACATTTACTTTAATATTCTGGAGGTTATTTGCTTACTTTGAACGTGTACTCCAAATGTTTGTCAGCCCTTTTTCTTGGTACTCCTTTCAGGGTTATCTTCTCAATGTGTACAGCTGAAAGAAAAACACCTTATTTTACACACCAAAATTACAGTTTGAAAATGTACCTGCTTGCTAGCCACTCTGAGAATCACTGTATGCTATTTACTGATACACAATCCCACCCTTTCTCAGATGCTATTTTACTCTATCAAACTGCAGGGGGCAGGTGGAGCCTTGTTCTCTAAAAGTATTCCTCTGGCCTGACCACAACCCCTTCATTGCAAATCACAGGAATCTCTGCATTACCCAAGCGTTTATGTAGACTGAAAGCCACACAAATACAATGACACAACCACTATAAGCGAAATGACAATGAAAGGAAGTCAGATTGCGTCTTTACTCCAACAAGTAACACACGCTGGTAAAAGCCAGCGACAGTGCCTTCCACATCCACGGTTCTGAAACATCAAGTAGTAATGAGAGCAAACTAAGGCAGAAGAACCACATTCTGAAAGGTGGAAGGAAACACTTGGGGAAGGCCTGAAGGAGACAAAAATGAGTGTTAGTAAACAGAAAATTAAGAGCAGAAGCAGAAGGCTACTACAATCATACTGTAATGAGTATCACTAAATTGAACTGAAAAGGAAGAAAGATACTTTAAGATTACTTGCTACTTTAACATTCCTTCCCCATAGTCTACTGTATTCAGGAATAGGCAAGATCTGGCTGTGACTTGGTATGAAGCAGCACCATATGACTTTCAGGGTTTGGAGAATTTTTTGAGGGCACATAACCTCATGTAGCCGAGATGGGCTTTTTACTTTTCCTGCTATGCTGGCCTAAGAATTCAACAGAACTTTATTCCTTTACAAGCATGAACACATCTTTACATGTAAAAAATGTGATTTAAAAAACAGTTTGATCAGCCCTACATCATCAATGCTTCCTTTCAATGCTTTTGAAATGTTTTCTTTTTTTAGGGGGGAGGTGGGAGGAGGGAGGAAGGCGGTGTTACCAGCTAACATTTTCCTTTCAATTTTTAACTGCATGTTTATATGGGATATATTGGGAACTATGCATAACAATTAAAAAAAAAAAAAAATCAACCTCCTACAAGTCTGTTACAAAGCTTATTCTTGGAGATTAGCTAATTACCATTTCATGTAACTTAAACATCCTTAATGAATTTTGTTAAAGCTGCAATTAAAATATCATCCCCATCGAACGTGTCAGTTCTAAGAGAACTAAGTATAAGCCAGCGTATAAGCCTAGTGATGGTGTTACAGCTTCCAATTCTTTTAGCGGAAAGACTGACAAATACTGACTGTGCTGGTTGTAACCCTCTACCTGGGAGTTAAGAGCGCTAGATGATCGGTTCATTTTTATCAGTTAATGAAGGTTAATTATTCCAAAGCAAAGAAACCTGAGATGAGCTAAGGATGCCAGACAATAACATACATCTATATATTGTGAAAAGACAAGTGTTTGGTGATCTTAATTTTTACCTGTCTGGTATGGATAAAAGTACTGTTAGAAAAAGGACTATGGCATAACATGAGTTTTTGTGCAGTGAAGTTTCTTAGTGGCCAACATTAAAATTGATACCATCAGCTGAACTGATATTCCTAAGTTAATTAAAAAGTTGATTCCCATGACTGTAACTGAGAATACTGGTTTAAATTGCATTTTACTACGTGCATATATTTAGCATATATTATAGAATCTAACACCATTAACATTCACAGACAAGCCTCTTTTCTAACAAGATTGTGTTTGTTTTAAACTATTGAATGTTCTCAATGCTAAATATATTTGTTCTCAAGTATAAAGGCGCTTTATTACACACTGTAGTACCTCCAGCTTCCTTAACTTCTTTTTGTTGATGTTGCACGCTTTGTTGTAGTAAGTGATGTAACAGGTAATTACAGTGTCGTTGCTGCACAGCTTTAGTTCCACAGTTTCAACAGACCACTTCAAAATTCTATTTCCACAATCACATTTTAAATATTCTAAATGGCTAGACCGAGAGGAAATGTTTGAATATACAAGCCAGTGAGATGTGTTACATCTCTACATTTATTCTGAACACAATAGATGCATTCAGGATGTATACATGACACTGCTTCCATTGTAAGAGTAAGTTAAGATTTCTAAAAGTCATATTCATCACAGCAGAGAGTAAAAAACCCCCATGTTTTATTATCAGTGCTATTTCTAACCCAATAAGGAAATTTCTGTAGCAGGAACTCCCTTTCTATCACATACCTGTATAGCAAATATCACAAAACGATTCTGATCCTTCACTGTAGTTTCTAACTATGATAATATGAATGCTGAGAAATATTTAAGCTTTTTACTAGATTCAATTATTCAACTTTTCTGTGCTTCTGTTACTTAATTCAAGAGCGCTGCTAAAGAGAGTCTCCCTTCTGTGTTTCTGATTTGTGAATATGAACACTTTGAACTCTGTAAAAGGATTTGAAACACGTTTGTTGTCTGTAATCTGCCATAATTTTTTTCTGTGTTTTTTGCATGGAATTAAAACTCTCAAATTGCCTGCCTTCAAAGTATAATTAAATCTCCACAGTAGAGACAAAAGGACATTTATGAGGACAAAAGGAATAGCAATAGTTTTCCAAGATTGCCAGTTCTTCACTATCTGCAAGATAGTGTAGACTAATTTTGAGTAGACAAGTGATTCGCTAATCTTGTTGGAGAATAAAGGGTAAGAATAAATCTGTTTTCAATAATGCTTATTTCTTCAAAGAGAAGAAACTGTGCTGGCAATTGCACAGAAGAGTTCTGTTTACGCTCTGAAGCCTTGTTCTCATTCTCCCCAACAGAGCCAAAAGAATACTTACTTCTATGGAAAGCCTCTCACTTCTCCAAACTACCACTTCTATAAAAACTCCTAATACGTGTTTTTTCTTTCTTTGTTTGTTTTTTAAGACTAATCAAATACAACTGAATCCAGTAGCAAAAGCTATCCACCGTTTCACAGTACCTTCATGTTTAATTTTGCTTCAAAAATCTGAACACTGTTAATACAATCGCATTAATTTTTCCTGTTTTCTCCCAAATCCCACCTCTTTTTTTCGGGAGGAAGCCCACTTGCAATCAATTTCTGTGCATGCAATCATGTAGTTAGCAGCTAACAAGAATGACAAATTGTTATAATAAAGAAAAGACCAAGTAGGTAGCAGAGAAGCTATTATACTTACCAAACATTGCAGTTTCTCATTCAGATGAACAGCAAGACAGATGCAAGATTTCTAAAACTCCAGGCAGAGTTTAGTGTCAAAAAAAAAAACCTTAAAGTGTTCCTCAAAAGAAACCTCAGACAACATACCTTCTCGCTGAGGTCTATGGGAAGCCATTGGTAGTCCATCATGAGGTGCTGTGGTTCGTTCTAACAAACTGGTCTCATTACTTGACACGCAGTCATTACGGGAAAAGTCATTCTAAATTGAGAAGAAAAAAACCAGAAGTGTCTTAATAGAATGTATTATTACCAATGCTTGCTCTAAACAGCAGAAATTACAAAAAAAAAGTTCCTTATCTGGTATTCTACAGAAGAAAAACCTGAAGCTCTTGACAGTGGCAAAAAGGTGGTTATTAGTCATTTCAGTTCTTACTGTTTTATTTATTTATTAAATGTCAGCTATAACCTCCAATGTTTCACATATCTTATTTTAAAACCAGAACAGGGTGGGAGACAGATCCTGTGTCTTTAGGGTATCTCAGGCTGGACAATTCAAGACCATTAGCTCAGAACTTCAGTACTTATTTACTGTTAGTATGAACTCTTTCAATTACTAACCTGTGACGTCATCTACTCAATACACTCTAAACATACACTCCTCAATTATTTTCATGCCCTGTATCTTCAGCCTGCTACCTCTTCTATACAAGAAATCATGAACAACAGTTTGGACAGTCTATCAGGACATATGGTCCTAACAGCTAAATCCATGCACCTCTTACTAACTAAACATTCAGAATGCAACCAGTTGCCACCAACATCCTCTATTCCGCAGAGAAAAGGACAAACTGAAAGCTCACCTCCCCCCACATTTGCATGCAGGTACCAAGAACTACTACTGTTTTAATACAGTGCACAAGGAGGGACAAAACAGGAAGTTGAGGTGCTTGAGTGTGTCCAGAGAAGGGCAACGAAGCTGGTGAGGGGTCTGGAGCACAAGTAGGATGAGGAGCGGTTGAGGGAACTGGGGTTGTTTAGCCTGGAGGAGGCTGAGGGGAGACCTTATCGCCCTCTACAACTGCCTGAAAGGAGGCTGTAGCCAGGCCAGTGCCTTTCTCTTCTCCCAAGTAACAAGCAATAGGATGAGAGGAAATGGCCTCCAGTTGCACTAGGGGAGGTTTAGATTGGATACTAGGAAAAATTTCTTCACCAAAAGGGTTGTCAAGCAGTGGAATGGGCTGCCCAGGGAAGTGGTTGAGTCCCCATTCCTGGAGGTATTTAAAAGCCGGGTAGACGAGGTGCTTAGGGACATGGTTTAGTGGTGGACTTTGCAGCGTTAGGTTCACAGCTGGACTTGACGATCTTAAAGGTCTTTTCCAACCTAATGATTCTATGATTCTATAAAATCATATCAGACCTGGACAGATAAGTAAGAGAAGAAAGAACAAACTAGGCTAACAATGATAAACTAGGTATTAGATGAGCGTGGACTTCAAGTGTTCTCTCTAGAGTAGTAAGAGTCTATGTATTTTTTCCCAGATTAAGATAAAACGTTCATGCATCAAGTTACATGTTCTTCAATGACCAGGTCTCATTAAAAAGCCAAACTGACCAACCAAGCTAAAATTCAGAAATGTTTTAAAATGTCCAATGACTTTAGATGCAACTGTTTTTGCCAGTTGACCGGTGTAATTCCATGTTTCAAGGAAATGTCACATTGCCTTAGAAAGACACATTCACAAAGAACTAGGAAATACTGGAAGTTACTAGTGAGTTTCTGGATTAATCTATTTTAAGTGAGGCACCTCTATTTATCTGTAACAAGCAGTATAATCTATGAGCCTAGCCAGTACCTAAATGCCATCAATATGCAAATATCATGTTGACGGTAGCAGCAGCGCAGAGGGGGAGAGAAGGTGGTTCTCTGTTTAGCAGTACAAATCAACCCAATACTGGAAGCTAAAACAGAGGGTAGGTTTCCTGGGAAAACTTTCAAAAGAAACAAGTTAAACAGAGGACATTCAATGCATCCCACGTATTTAGCAACTGGTCTGTATGAAAACTAGAAAGTAAATAAATATCTAACTTCTTAGTAGGTCTATAAAATGCATAAAATTTCTGGGAGAAATGGGATACTTTTTGGAGTAGATGTATATTAAAAGTTCAAAGTCTGTTTCTCTCATTCAGGATGAAGAACATTGCTCTGCTGAAAGACCTTCATAAAAGATGGGTAGAGGAAAAATATAAATCTTCAGACAGTACTCATTATTAAATATAGGAAGCAGAAGGTTCTGGAAATAAGTGCCAGAATATATGTGACTTTTTTTTTTCCCTGAAGGACTTGGGCAATGTGATGGGACAAACCAGCAGCCAAGACTAGTTTCCTTGTTTGGTACATAGGATCCCAAGACTGCCACAACCGGCAGACGAGAATGAAGAAGCACAGCAGTGTCAAAAGACATCAGAATACGCTTGCAGTTTGTGAATTCTTCAGCGAACTTCCTCAGATTTGACAGAAGTACTAAGGCAGCTTTACATCATCTATAGTGCAGGTACAAACCGTGGCAACTCCTAACAATACAATCAGCTCATTTAGGACCCAGCAAGTACACAGGCATCAAGCCTACCCTGGGCATACTGTTAATCTAACTTTCATCAGTCACATCAACAGCAGCACACAATTAGCAAGTGAACAGCTATGTGCCTTTAGACTGCACTTACAGATGGTCTCATGAACTGAACGACATTTTAGCTGTTTCATTTAATCAGTGTATGGTTTGTGTTCTACACCAAGTGTCAGTAATTTCAGGTTTCAAAGCGATCAGACTTAAAAAATAGAGCATACTTTGTTTCCTCAAGATAAAACTCACACCAGTCCCTTGTCATTCAGTAAACAATCTCAGCAAACTTAACTGATCAAAACAGTATTTCATGCTTCAAACATCTAATAAATTATGAGAGCAATGTCAGACTTGGGATAAGAAAGAAAATAGCTGTATATCAACAAGATTGCATTTTAACAGCTTTAGCAAATTTCCAAGTTTAGTTTAATTTAAAAAAAAAAAAAATCACAAGCATGGCCTGGAGAGAGGCACTTTGAGATCTCCTCAAAACTCCCATTGATACTGTTTTGTCAGACATTTCATAACAACTGTGGACATAACTAAACCCAAGTACTTCACTTTTTAAGTATTAACTCCTGGTCATGCATTATTTACAAAACTGCTGGAATTTGAGCATTTAAGTTACCCTGTTGAAACTGTGATTCACTTAAGACTGTCCATAAAAGGCAAGACGGCTATGATTAACTGGCTGTGTCCAAACTACATAAGCTAACAAATTTAGCACATACTTTGGTATGAGAGTGAATGTCTTCCTGACATGAAATCAAACAACTGAACCAAGACTTCTAGAGAAGATCGATGTCAATTCTCTGGCAGAGGTAAGGTCTTCTTTAAACTATGGCCACAGGCTTTGCCAAAAGCAGCTTTGATATCTTTCTTCCATACTGCATACAGAAGACAGACAGACATTTGGATTAACTCTGACAGAGGCTCTCAAACTATTCAATTTGGTTTACTTTTCTAAGACGTCTTTTTCCACCTCTGAAATCATGATCGTAAGAGTTGAAGGCAGTGCTTCATTCATTTTAATGAACAAGCTGAGACTTCCACCTACTCAATTACTTTTTTTAAAATTTCACAAATGGATCTAAAAGCAATTGAATTTAAAGTCAGACCTTCTGCATTCGAAGTCAGGCTATTTGTTTTGATCAATGGAAAAACAAATTACAGTCTATTATAATAAATAATTGATAGTTAAGAAGTCAAAGAAACAGTGAGCAGTTTTAGAAGAGAGGTGTGGAAGTAAGATTTACTTCGAAGGCATATTCTTCTCAGTTCATGTCAAAGCAGCATTAAATATTGCTGCTACACCTCCTAATACCAGAAAACTGCTTCTCACCTAGCACATACATCATCTTTGTAATAGTGTTCAAATATTTTTACAGAGAATTATTCTAGAATGGTTACTTTTCTATCCATGGCAGCATTCTGTACCAGGTGAACTACATCCACATTTGAAGGCTCCCTCTAAATTACAAAATATTACATGGTTTGAATCTGTATTTAAACAAGTCCTGACATAGATGATTTTATAAATCATCATAACTGTAAAAAAGTTAGTAATTTATTCACTTGAAAAATTCTTCACCTAGGAAGTTAAACCAGTAATATGTACTGCATGTAGTCTGTGAACGATAGCTTTCGCAATACCTAGTGGAACGCAGGAAGCAGACAGTAGGGTAATCCCGGGCAGTCATAGCTTTACCTTACAGCTTACAGCCTGTGAGGCTTGTCTCTGTGCCAGCTCCAGATCCTATCTTAAGCTGCATTACAACTCTTCTTCACATTTGGTGTTAGCTACTATGACATTCCCACATCAAACACTGACAAGTAACTACAATGCAAGTAGCATTGTCAGAGCAGACAACACTAGCACGCAAGTGACTGGAAAATCTAGGCAGTCTGGAGGGCCAATGAATATTAAGAGTGACATCGTGGATGCTACCTGGTGCCAGTCACACCAAAACCACAAGTCCTTTAAAACTGGGTATGCTGCCGAGGAGTTCCTGTCGAGGGTCACGCTGTACAGCACTAATTGTGCTAGTCATTTCCTGTCAATGAATAAAATGTATTCACACAACACACACAAGTGTAAGGTTAATTCCTGCGTAAGCCTTTGCTGCTGTAAGGCTTTCACATGTAAGGGTTCACTGCAGCTCTTGGTGCTGCTGCTAATGATTAAAATACAGTGAAGCAAGAAATGTGGGTGGCCCCAAAGCAGTTGCCAGATAATTAATTTGATAATCGCACAGATCTTTGTGACAGGCTAGAGGATTAACTACATTTCTCCTAGAAAGTGAAATGAGCTAAGAAAGTGCTCTAAAAATTGTCTGCTCTCACAATCTAGACCAGAGTTTTGTATCCAAGACATCTTTCCTCCTATGGTTGAAAGCAAGTACCATATTAAAAAAAAAAAACCCACCTATCGCTTGAGAAGTTTCCCATGACAGTAAAGACAAGCCCCAAAAATCTAAAGTGAAGAGCCATGCTGCTTGGAAAGATGTTGCTCTGTATACCTAACGTACATGAGCTGAGCAAATCTCAGCTAATCTACACATGACAGATGTCCAAACTCTGATTTCTATTAACGTAGATGGCTGATCAAAAATTGTTATGCTGGTATTGGTTTGGCAATATGTGCTGAAATCTGTTATTGGATAGCCTACTAATCATCATGTGCAAGCAACTGATACACATAAGTCTTCTGATGTTTGCATTGCACTTTCATAAAAGAACTGTTCATGCATCAGCTCTGATGAGTACTAACAAGGGAAACCTGCTTACAGCAGCTGGACAGCTTGATTAATTCTACGTGCCCAAATATGAAAGCTTATTTTTCTGCAAGACTTCAGTAAATGTGCTGTTAGGGACAACGCTACTTAGCCTTGCAGGCTGTGCAGATGTAAACTGGCACAGCTCATTCATTCATGTACAAGTGGGAATTGGCAAACAAAACCAGATGAAAGAAGGCATCTTGGAAAAATCAAGGTCTAACTCATGATCATGAGTTATCAACTACAGCATCTGTACCTTAGAGAAATTTGAGCGATGTCAGAATAACCATTAATAGATGTGGTACCAGTTACAAGACCAAAGCCATGAGTTGCTGAAACCAATCCTTACAAGCTACCACCCTTATTTCTTCACAACGGTGACACACAGATACATAGCTACGTATCTTAGCTAAGATATATAGCTATGTATCTTAGCTAGCGCAAAGGCTAAACGTCACCTCATCAGA